ACCTGTATTACAACACTGGACATTCCCATAAGCGCGCCAGTCTCCCCTTTGGCAGTCAGGTCTAAGTTGCCGAAAAATCATTTGATTATATATCCGTCCCGCCTAGCCCCTCAGAGTTTAATATCTACGAGACATCGTGGTTAATTCTCCGCACCCCCTTTTCACAAATCTCCTTTAACCATTAGGATATATGCGTGATTAAGCACTGTTTACTTACTCCCAAAGGGTCACGAACTACGTCTGTCTAGTTATGCAACAGTTCATCGTCAAAAACTGGTAGCGAAGACGTAAGAAACAAACGTTCGCTTTCCTCCATCGATATTGAAGATAACGAAAAAATTAAATTATTGCAGGGCTCGTCCGGGATTTGAACCCGTGACCTCTCGCACCCGAAGCGAGAATCATACCCCTAGACAAACGAGCCTAGCGTAAATGGTAGCAAATTATGAAACCTACACATAATGTAGGACGCAATTTTTTTTTGAAGCCCCACCCTGGACGTAGTCGGGGGCACTGATAAAACTCAGCGATTGAAGTGGATTTCTAGGACTTGCGCCCGGGTGGGTATCATCCAAATAGTGGCACTTTGTGTCACCGGGTATTTATCGCTCAATGAGCCTATATGGTGGGATTGAAAGTCAATCAAATAAATGCAAAGTAATTTTAACTCTAAGATAATTTTTTTTTTAATTTAAATACAAATACAGTAAACCCTAGTTGGTTCGTTTCACGGCTGCGACCTTTAGTTCATGAATGCAATTTTTACAGAGATCCATATAAATAGTCGCCGAAGCTACCAAGTTCGTGCTTTTTGCGGCGCTCTCGGCAGGCGTATAGCCGTTCTGCGGAGATAGGCCGAGTCATATGGGATAAAAGCCGGAAGTCGATCCTCTTGACTCTAATCTTTAACCTCGTTAACTCAAATTCCAAGGGACCGATAGAAAAGTTCATGTTAACTGAAAATCGTGCCAACGTGGGACGCAAAATTCAGTATAACCAACGAAGATTTGACATACTCATATTACCAACTGCAGGTTGATTCTTCTTCTTCGCGTTCACCAGCTGTAAACTCCGGCGGAAAGTTCTGATTGTTCGTCCACTTCTGGACTGTCGTCCTGTTCCAGAACCTGAGTGTTGCGTGTGCATCCGTTTTACAGATCTGACTTATTTCAGAAGAGTTTGATGTTAACTGTCGGATGTCATCAGTCAGATACACGCAAATGATGATCTAATGGTCATGGGGGACTTAGATGGGCATATAGGGCAGAGACTAACATCATGGGAAGAATATCTTGGGCCATACACAGACAGCAGCAAAGACTGCAACTACAGTAGGCAGGATACTCGAGGCTCAGAGGAAAGGCAAGACGAACGTATAATCAGAATGCTACTAGCACCACTAGTATTGGAACTCTGTGCTGGCTGCTGAAGATGGGAACGAAGGGCTTGTGTAAATGCCCGATTGCTTTGATGTTGGTTCTTGAATCAGCTCAACTCAACTGAGCATCATTACATCTTGTCCTTGGCCTCCCTTGTACTCTACGGTTTTCTCCTCTACTGATGAATGCCTTGAATGGTATGGCTCTATAGGGCGTTCTCTCTAAGTAGACAAACCGTTTGATTTTCTGTGTCTGTGTGTAATTTAGAATTGATTCTGTGGCTAACCGTTTTAATTTTTTAATTTTTTGTTTTGTTTCCATTCCTGATTTAATCTTTTCTAGTCACCCCTGCACTGCACCTCAGATACCTCATTTTTATGATTACTAATTTATTTTTATGCTTTGTTGTGAGTGATGATGTCTGGTACTGGTAGCAAAAGCGAGAATGAATTTGCTTTCTATAAAAGATTCTTCTGTGTGATAGGGATTGCATTATGCTGTAGACAAGAAAGAAAAAAAGACGCGGGGGGGGGGGGGGGAGTGGGGCGGTGGCAGGTGGAATATCTGTCCAAATGCTTAAAAAGTGATAACAACCGGCGTGACTGCGGTCAAGCTAATACCCAGAAATTAAGAGGGAAAAAGGAGGAGTGGGGCGGTTTGGGGGGGGGGGAGGAGGGAAGGAACAATCAAGAAAAATTTGACGTTTCGGCCGGAGTCTTTCTCGACACAAACCACAACAACAATAAGGGGCAGAGTATTCTGACCAACAGTCGCCACACAGAGGGTCAACGAGAAATACTGTGGAATATAAAGTTAAAAGTTAGTTGTGTATCCATTAGAGTACGTAACAGAACCAACCACAGCAGTTTTTTTGTTCTAGGCTAATTTACGTTCATTAGTTTGGCATAGCTTTTTGAACGGTCAGCTCTCGGTACCACTGTCGAAACCAACGCTAGACAAATCGTCCACAGATGGAATCGAACCCAATACCCCGGCATTACGAAGCGCGTTTGCAATGCCTGAGCCACATATGCCTACACTGTAGGATATAGGAAGCGGAAAAGGTGATATGAAATGATTAAAATAAACGAAAATAATATCAGTAATCCATGGATAATAAAAGTAATCATCGCAGTGGTGGTGAAAATAATAGTAACAATAACTTCAACGATGCAGTAATAGTGGTGGGAATAAAAATATAAATGATCCATTTAAAGTTTATTAAAATATAAAATAAAATAATAACGCTGCATTGATGCCTGCTAAGCCCAGAACAGCCAAACTATCAATTTGTCAATTTTCTTACGTGAAACGTGTGAACTGATCACCAAAGCAAGATTGGATGACGGTAACAGAGATATTGTCTACGCCGTTTGCGTCAGAACTTTTGAAATGTAGAGCGGCTGGTTTTAGTGTTGACTTTGCAATATTTAAGAATTGTCGAGGGAACTGATTAGCTACCTTTCCGTTGGTCTTCCAAATGATACATTGTTGCATCTTTTACACATTACATTGAAGTTTAAGTTTCGGGATTGCAAATGCTCCCTTAATCCGGAAAGAACCATTCGGGAAACTGATCGATGAGGTCTGGATAACGAGTGGACCTGTCTTTCCCTCAGTGCAGCAGCATTCCGTGGTTATAACCATTAGACTGCGGTCCTTGCTTGCAGACTACTTAAGGCTTTCCGTTGAAGATCATCTTGGTGTCTGGATATTAGCGTGCGTAGGATATCCCAGTGGCGACGGAATAACTTGGAAGCATCCACATTGCTGGATGTAAACTTAATATCAGTGTGGGTCTATTACTTATAGTTTTTCCTTCCCGGCGATAGCATCTCTCCTGGTGATGGATACACACTTTTTTTTACAGCCTCTTGCGAGATGTGTTTATGGCAGAAACTGACACGGAAGTGGCCAAGAAGGTTCCATTGGAAACAGGCTGAGCCAGCACTGTACGAGGATGCCATAGAGACGCCAAAGGGACCTACATGTGATTCATTAAAAAAAAAAAAGAAAAGGTAAAGTCGGTAGTTGGGAACCAGTGTCATTGCACACACGGTTATAAACCATAAGTGCTCTGCCACCAGTACGGGCAGCTGATAAGAAACTGTCCGCCTGTGTCGCCGTTCGCACTTAACTCTGTAGCTACAGCGACGTTCCTCCATTTACCCCAAAGCGTCACTCTAGTACCCATTTCCTAGAGGCTGGGTGAACCCCCGGGAGTCACCCGGTTTCGAACACCGACTGTGGCTGCAGTGAACAGGTTGAAAGCATCCAGATTTTAATTCATAAAATGGTTCTCGGAATCAACATCACTACAACAGTCAAGCTGGGTTTGATATTCACTACCCTAAAACCCATCTGATCAGACATAACATTGACGTTAATATAGCTTCAGAAATTGCACAATTTAAAAAAGAAAATTACAGATGTTATTTAATTAAAATAATTACATCAGACATGCATTGTAAAAAACATGTTACGTAAACTGTCGGCCTGTTGCTGCATTGTGGAATCAGGTCTGCGTTCAAAGTTTAGTTTTTTTTGTTGTTTTTTTGGAATTTATTCACAGAGCCCTTGAATGTGGAAAGTCTTTTTTATACTTTTTATGTCTAATCAAGTTAAAAAAGAGACTAAAAAGAATGAAATTTTATCAATATAAGTTCGAGAATTGACACAATATTTTTTTTTTTTTTTTAAATTAGGAAATTTTTTTTTCGAATATGGGTTAATTTGTATTACATTCTTTTCCTTATTTTTTTTTTTTTTAAATTGAGATTTGCGGTAGGGTCAAGGTGAAATAACGGGGGGTTGGGGGTGAAAAAGGTCAACGCCAATTACATAATTGTCCTAATGGACGTCTTCAAATATGACCAGTTGAGATTGTTAACTTTAGAAATGTAGATTCTAAGAGATATCAGGAAGATTTGTTTCATTCTAACATATAATGCTTAAAATAAAGCAACGAAAAGTGTAGAAATCACTGGTATAGTAATGCATAAAATAACACCATGGTTTCTCTTAGAGAACAGCCAGTCTTTTATGTAATATTTATCAGGAAGACTTCCGGCCAAAGTAATCGATAACCAGCTGAAATGTGACCCTCTGAACAGTTATTTGTTTCTAGGTTGCAAATTCCCCATTTCGGGGCTTTAAATCCACAGGGTCCTTCGCTCAGTTACTGAACTAAGTGCTTGGTGCGGCAGTGCGAGCTTTTCTTTTCTTGTGGAATTATTATTTTTTGTTGTGCCTGCGTGTCTTTGACCAGTGAGGTAGGAATCTTAGCGAAATAGTTTTTGTTTTGTTCAATTGTAATGCTCGGCAAAGCAATTGTATGACAATGATGATACTGATGATAATCATGATGATGATAGTAATGATAGTGTTATAGATTATGAAGACTCTTTATTGGTCTATATGTATGATAGATATAACACCTTTTATTAACTAAAATCAATAGACTGCAATAAAGAATTTGTGCAGACTGCATCACGTGAGCAGAGAAAAGGTTCGGAATTCTCCAGATATTTATGCTCTGCAAGGGTACATATAAGTATAAATCTGAAGTCTCTATACAGTCCAAAGTCTGTATCAATCTGAAGTCTGTCTACATGTCTGTGATCATATAATGGTAGCTGAAGCTGGTCTCATCCATGTGTCGTCAGTTAGGGTTTCAGCTGAGGCTGGCCTGGGGAATGGAAAAGTATCTTTCCTTTATTTACTGTGATGCATGTCTTGTAGGTATATTTTTATCAATAGATTTCAGTGTGTTTTGGTGCGTATTTGTGGTTATTGTGTATTCATGTAATGCTATGCTATCATAATTGACGTCACTGCACATTAAACATTCCCATGCGTGCTCTGTCCTCTGATGCAGCAACTTCTTCTTCTTCTTCTTTACTTCCTCTTTTACCACTACGGGTGTCTAGAGAGATATAAGGTCTTGCTTCGTGCTCTTCTGCTGCTTCGACCATAGACACATCGTGGTGTTGTAAAGTTTCTTCTTCTTCTTCTTTACTTCCTCTTTTACCACTACGGGTGTCTAGAGAGATATAAGGTCCTGCTTCGTGCTCTTCTGCTGCTTCGACCATAGACACATTGTGGTGTTGTAAAGTTTCTCTGATGTTATCTTTCCATCTTGCTCTTGGTCAACCTCTTGCCCAACGCCCCTCTGCTCTTTTTGGTATATGCTTTGTATGGTATAGCATCAGAAGGCATTCTCTCCAAGTGGGCAAACTATTCGTTTTGAAGTCTTTGTGTGTAATTTAGAATTGGTTCTGTACCGACTCTATCTCGCCTGACCTCATTTCTGATTTTATCTCTTCTGGTCACTCCTTCAGCCTTTCTCAGACACCGTATTTTCATAGTTACTAATTTCCTTTTATGTTTTGTTGTGAGTGACCACGTCTGGCACTGATAGCATAAGATGGGAATGAATATGCTTTGTATGAGATGCAACAACATTCCCAAGGTATTTCTCCAAACTGTTCCCATGAGAGGTTGGTTAGAATGTCTCCTATCTCGGCATCGAAGAAGGCATAGACGTGCTTCACCATGCTTTATTCCATGTCAGGCAATCGTGTTAGTGTCAGAGATTCGTCATTATCCACTTGCCCTGTCTGTAAGGTTCTCTAGTCGCAAAGTTCACTTGTTGTTTGTGTGTGCGATAATTTTTAAGCTGGTTTTACCATTCTTTTGCTTTGATGTCTTTTCATTTGGATATATAGCAAATAGGTCATTGAATAGACAACTCCTTTCCCGAATTTAGAGGACGATTTTGCAGCACCAGCCTCATGCTTGCCCACATCCCTGAATTTCGTTTCGGCCAACTCACAGGTCTCCGTGGAACACATTTCAAGAGTTCCGTGATCTCGTTTGCAAAACCTCCCTAATTTTCAAAACCTCTCTAAACTTTAGAATGCAATACTTTTATGATTTATACTATTTATAAGTTATTATCTTCTTCTTCTTTGTTGACCGACTGTAAGCTCTGGCGGAAAGTCCTGGTTGTTCGTCCATTTGGACTTTAGCTTTGGGCCAGGGCCTAATTTTGCGTGTACATCCGTTTTACTGACTCATTTGTGTGCAGCTGGTTGTTTTTTGCTGCTTGGGCAGATGCACTCCGACTTCGAAGGAAGTACCAGTAAGTCGACTCCTACGACATGCTTGCTGGAGAGGCAGTGGATCTGTTCTAGTTTTCCCCTGCAGTGGGGCCCTGGAACTCACACAGGGATTAATTATTATGTTTTCTTCATTGCTACAAAAATATGTACCCGAGTATTAAAAAGTGGCATTGTTTCAACAGTTCCTCCCAAAGGTCGACGCTACAAATAGGAGATTAAACGTGAATCGATTTGACTGAAACATATCAGCATACATGAATTAAAATCACAGCCAATAAATAAGAAGATTTGGTCATCTGACAAGAATGCGCTGGTCCCAAATGACACAGAGAGCCAAGGGAAGGTAATATATTGCAAACAAATCTAGAACAAGACCACGCAAAATATGAAATGATGGCATCAAGAACGGTCCTAAAGAAATGAAAATCAACGTATACAAAGCATTGGAGACACACATGAGACCTTACATCTTTCGCCAACACCCCGATGATATAACTGGACGAAGCTGAGCTTCACAAATCCCTGTAGTCATCGGGAACTTACTTCAAAGGGTTTGATTCACTCGTTTTTGTTCGTAAGCAACTTTCTTAATGTATACTAGCACTTATTGATTTCCATACGATTTTTGCTATTTCCGTATCTTTTCAGGCAAGCACATGTCATATTCTTATCTACTCTTATAAACAGTATTTTCTTGGCCTATTAAAGTTAAGTTGTGGGTTTTATCGTACTCTACAGCTCTTTCTGTTCGCTGTCTTAATGCAAATATTTGATCTTTATAGTTTCTGTTGTGTTTGCATATCACCAGAGCTTCTGAAAGATATTTTTCCAGTAGTGGTCCCAACTTGTTTTTGATTTAATTTGGCGTATATATACCCCCCCCCCCACACACACACACACACACACAGGTAGGGGTAGGGTAAGAGCTGAAACAACGTTATAAAGGTATAAACAGAACATGTAGTAAGGGAGAATAGATATACTTCATAAAAGAAAACAGGTACCATCAATTGCCGAAAAGTGGACCTGCTCTGTAACTCCACCTTGAGATTCGGAATTCGGAATTATACATATACCTAGTAAAGTAAAGAAAGTAAAGATCCCTTTACACGCCCTTAGGCGCATGGGCATATGGGCATATGGGAAGAGCACCCATATTTCTCTAGGTGGGTAATGTGGTCAGCATTACGCCGGCCGTCTTTACTTTCCCAGGACAGCCCATCCTGGTACCCATTTGAGGCTAAGTCGACCTGCGACGTCCCATACCACGATAAAATCCACGCAGCCCGCAGTGGGATTCGATCACGGTACGTTGGATTACGAGTCGGACTCGCAACGCCTTAGCCACGGACACCGCATTACATATACCTAGCTAATGGATTTTGTACAAGCAATTTATTTTAGTCGTCTCCTAGGATTGGAGAAAAAAAGAATTATTTCTGGAAGACTCGACTGATATGCCGCAGTTTACGGTATACAATGTTACGAAACTCTCACCTGTGGCTGCGTAGCCGGAGCTTGTCGAACTCGTCAGAAGTACCTGCAACAATGAATTTTGATTTTTCATGTTTGCATTGCAAAGAATACAAAGCTAAGTCAGAGACTCAACTGAACTGTTCAAGGACTTGCAAAGTTTAGACAGCTAGACAACAAGACCCGTGTCAACGTCATTAAGCATAGTGGACATATAATGTTTGATTAGATGTCATAGGCCACTCGGTTTCGGTGGTTGGTATGGTAGGCATTACGCCTCGCCTTTACTTTCACGACCTTACCTGACACGAATTTTAGGCTGGGTCGACCTGGGAGCCCAGGTCATTTGTAAAAGACCCAAAAAAAAAGCAGATTTGAGCCTCCAACCTTGTGGCCTGAGGCGGGTGTCTAGCCGCCACACCACGGAGGCTCCCCTTCTATAAAACCAACATTGTTTAAAAGCGATTGAACTGGCTTCTGCGCCTTCACTAGCTGTGATCTCCACTGGAAAGTTAGGGTTTTTCGTCCACTTCTGAACTTTGATCTTGTTCGAGAAGTTAAGTGTTCCGTGCACATCCGGTTTACAGATCTAAAATACTTGTGCACAGAGGTTTTGTTCGGGAGCGGGGGGGGGGGGGGGGGGGGGGGGGGGTGGTTTCATAACTAACAAGCAAACGCAGTTCCACTTCGAACAAAACACTCCTAATTTCAGCTGCGCCTTAGTATACGTCCTTAATTTGTTTCACATCCTCGGACTTATATGCCAGATAGAACGTATAGCAAACAGTATTTACACCAAACAGTACGTACGCCAAACAGAACGTACACCAAAGAGAACGTACGCCAAACAGAACGTACACCAAACAGTTCGTACACCAAAGAGAACGTACGCCAAACAGAATGTACACCAAACAGAACGTTTACCAAACGAAGTTTCACATAGGGAAATACAGGGAGACAATCCGTTGCCAAGAGACAAAATCTATTGTTATTGCATACTGTACATCTTTGCGGTTGTATACAACAATGTAAGCACTGCTCAATACTAAAATGCATAAATACCAAAGCGATTTGATAAAATAAATGAACTTTAATCTCGTTTTACTTTGGAGAAAAGAGTGTACTGCCTACTAAGATGGTGTTGAGAAGGGAGGAGAAGAAGGAAATGCTATTGTCTGGAGCGGGGGAAAGGGGGGGGGGGGAGTGGAAACAGAGAACAACTGTTACAATTACTAATGAACTTGATACATTCATTAACTGATGCCTGGGCAGAATAGAGGGGATTAAATGGTATGATAGAATCACTAATGTAGAGCTTAGAGCTTTGGGAGATAACAAAGCAAGCTCCATTGGACATTGAGAAAATCGGAGAACAATATAACTAGAATGTCTTTGCATTGGAACCCACAGGGGCATAGGAATAAAGGAAACCCCCCCCCCCCCCCAAAAAAAAAAAAAAAAAAAAACATGGAGAAGGGAGCTGGAGAATGAAGTTAGAAAGATAGGGAGGACATGGGGAGAGCTCCATGTAATAGCAAAGGAAAGAACGACTTGGCGTGAGTTGTCTGACGGCCTATGCTCTATTGGGGCTAGAAAGGCAGAAGAAGAAGAATAAGAAGAAGTAGAAGACGAAGAAGAAGAAGAAGAAGAAGAAGAAGAAGAAGAAGAAGAAGAAGAAGAAGAAGAAGAAGAAGAAGAAGAAGAAGAAGAAGAAGAAGAAGAAAAAGAAAAAGAACTAGATGTTACTGAAATGTCAACAGCTTGTCTTCAAATGGAGCATATATATTTGTTCACTAAGTGTTAACGATATAACCAATGCATGAAAATATACAGTTCTGGAAGACTTCAACATGTTTTAAACGTGTACCGAACAAAAGCAAGGGAAACCTACTTTCTAAAGCCCTTTCATGCTTCTCTACAGTGCTGTAGATGCGGTCTAGGTCACCGTCCAAACTGTGAGCAGTGTACAGGCGATCTCTGTGACGAACCTGTAGATTGAACGATATGAAGTCTAATGTAAATGGCTATTGTTTATGTACTCACATATACTAAGCATATGGTTCTAGGCAAACAGTTGTCGAGAGGATCCACTTCATTGCATCGGTTTTATCCCATATGGCTTGGTCTCTCTCAGCTAGCCGAACGCATAAAGTATGAACTCTATAGCTCCGGCAAAGATCTCCAAAGATCTCCTTAAAAATGAACCCGTGAACAGAACGCTGCAGCATTGAAACGACCCCACAACATTTAGAACGCGAGACAAACGGTTTGAACACTTGAACCGAGATCACTGTATATAGTTGAGATAAGTTGATTCAAAAACTGACATCACAGCACTCGGGACATTCCCATAAGCGCCCCGTCCCCATATTCAGCAGCCAGCGCATAGTTCCAAAACCAGTAGCAGTCTGTCTACATGTCCGTCTTAGTTTTCCTCGGAGCCTCGAGTATCGGCCAGATCCACTCTTCACTCCTCGCTGCATCATTTTCACCAGACTCTTATGATCAGTTTGATGTTCCGAACTCTACACGTTCTCTTATACGGCTTAAACCACGTCTGCTTATCATGTATCAATATTATACCAAGTTGCACAGAGCCAGCCAATCTGTCTGGCTGATAATTTCCCAACACACCGGTAATTCCCGGAGAAAAGATCCAGACAGTGCTTTTCACCTTTGACCTCTGAAGCGAAGTATGCAAGTCTAACTTTGTAATTTGTATCATTGGCAGAGGTAAAAGTGTCACAAACAGGCAGACATAAAGTCAGCTGGATTATCAAGACTATGGCGTTAGAAGAACATCAATAGAACTGATCACGAATACCAAGATTTGTTGAGAAACACGCCCGACGAAAGCATCGATAATTTAACAAAAATAAAACAAACTTCGATGAAAATGGTAACAGAGTAAAGATACTGTTCAGTTAGCAGCTCACTCACTCTGTGTGGTAGAGGTGTCAGAGACTTGTCCATCCAGCGAGGTCGTCTGTTGAAGTTGACAGGAGCTGTTTTGGCGGGAGGTTGCTTAGGGTCTGTGAAAATGAAGAACTTATTTAACCGCTGTATCACTAAACAAAATTAAGAGTAAAAGCAGTGCTGGATTTAGACACAAGCTAAAAATGACACATCTAAGGGCCTCACAATCTGCAGGGGCATCTAAATATTCTGATGTTTTCCCACAAATGTAATTAGTGTTTCATAGAGACTTTTGGTGGAGTGTATAAAATAATTTCTGCAAATTTGCTAACACGTTATTTCCTTCACTAAAAAATTAAACCACAACATATTTCCATTAACCATATACTTAAAAGGGGAGTCGCGTGGTCTAGCGGCTAGACGTTACGTTCGACTGCGGATCAGAACGTCGTGGGTTCGGTTCCTAAAGGGATGACGGACTTTAAAAAGAAAAGACTTTTGCTCCCAGCCTTGAGTGGGTACCAGGTGAAGACCTGGGAAGTAAAAGCGGACAACGTGGTGCTGCTGACCACGTTACAAGTGCCGTTGATCTAAAACTATAGGTCTAACCCTTCATACCCAATACGTCTGAAAGGCGTGGAAAAGGGTCTTTAACTTTTTATTTACCTAAAAGGTGTATACATTTTAAAGTTTTAAGATTAGTTGTTGTAGTTTGAAATGGCAGGGGCCTCAGAGCAAAATATAGCTCAGGGCCTCGTCAAGTCTCACTAGGGCCCTGAGTAGAAGCAGGAGTCATCATTTGGTAGACTCTAGCCTTCTGCCCAGGAGTTCACATTCTCTCGATGTAAATTTTCACAATGTTCCTAAGACTTACGTGTCCACACAGTCTAAAATAGGTGTCAGCAAACTAGGGAAGTAAAGACGGTCCTTGCCATGCTGACCCCAATATTTCTTTAGTGCCCATTTGTCTATAAAATGATGGCTCTAGCACCGCATAGCCGATACGCAAGTAACTTCAAAAATGTCTACTGACTTTTATGTTGTGTGAAAGTCAACAGCTAAGCTGCGATATCTGCATCTTTCAGTCCAATACATTCGGTTTCAGCAAAAAGCCTAATCAGTCGCATTTTACGACATGCTTGTTAGCGAGCAGTGGGTGTATCCCTCAATGGGCACTGGAATCCACATCTCGAAAAATAACTACTGGAACGAGATTGTTGTGGGTCACAGATATACAGGAAGTTAATTATCACAGGTGGAAGGGTGCTAACAGATACCGACCTTTCTGTAAGGATCTAAGGGCCTCCTCTTGCTGTCGGAGCAATGCTCGCTGCTGGGCTTCCAGGTTTATGTTGGTCTTGGGCAGATGTGGGTACATTTGGCGAAACATCTTCCGATTCTCCACATCTGTAATGGGGAATGAGGATAATACAAAGAATATATTGGAATAATAGAAGCACAGAGATTCATTCATTCATTCATAGTCCCAGTGTGTCATTCATCATCATCATGTGCCATGCCAACTGGCGTAGGCGCTAATGCGTCTCTACAGATCACGATCCCTGGTTGCCTGGAACCGCTCTCTTGATGATATCTCTCCATGTCATCGTTTCAGCCCATCCAGCATCATCTCTCTTGGTCTGCCTCTACCCATTTTTCCAATGATCTTCCCAGTTGTCACGATGCTCTCCAGTGTCTTTCTTCTCATTTTGTGTTTTATTATATGTCACATAAGGCTCTCAGTCAACTTTTCCCTCTCGTTCCATTCGGTGCAATCTCTTTGATATCACGGATGAAATCCAGGCATGAGCTTTACACCTCTTTCATCAATGATAGTGTTAGGATTTCTTTTGGAAGTCACAACTTCCTTAGATCCCTTTATTTCAAATTGTAACACATGCCTGCTGATTCTCTGCTCGTTTTATCTCAGGATCGGTCCAATAGAGACCCATCTTTTTTGTCCCATAATTGTTGTTACCAGCCGCTGCCAAGACATTTCTCTTATTTCATCACCCATCTTAAATTCTTCCCATTTTATATTCAACATTACCCGCAGGCAATTGTTTTTCAATTCATTTAACTTTATCTCTGCGTATTGAGATGTTCTCAAACTTTCACTGGCATATGTTAAAACTGAAATAACATTAGAATTTAAAAAATCGTAAACCTGGTAGAAAATTTTGACTTTTTGAATTCCCCATTTTGTTCACGCTTTTAAAAACTGCTGACTTGCGATAAATGGGGTAAGTAAAAAGTAAATAAAGAAAGGGCCCTTTTCGACGCCTTAGGCAAAAAGGGGAATAGGGGGTAGACTATATTTTTATAGACCAACGTCAACATCAGCCCGGCCGTTTTACTTCCTGAAATGCACCCGGGACCCACTCAAGGGTAGGGCGACCCGGGAGCCAAGGTCCCTTTTTTAAAANCTTTTAACTTTATCTCTGCGTATTGATAATGTTCTCAACTTTCACATGGTCAATATTGTTCTAAAAACGGAAATAAACATTAGAATTTAAAAAATCGTAACCTGGTATCGAAACTTTAGACTTTAGAATTCCATATTCTGTTCACGCTTTTAAAAACTGCTGACTTGCGATAAATGGATATAGTAAATAAGTAAAGTAAAAGTAAAGGACCCTTTTCGACGCCTTTAGGCAAATAGGGCATATAGGGCTAGACCTATATTTGTATAGACCAATCGGTCAACATCACGCCGGCCGCTTCTACTTCCTAGAACTGCACCCGGTACCCACTCAAGGCTAGGTCGACCTGGGAGCCAAGGTCATTTTTGAAAAAAAGTCTGGGAGCAAACACACGATCAGCGGCGAGCGTCTAGCCGCTCTGCCACGGTGACTCCCGATATAGTAAATGGTAATGTATATTAGAAGTAGATATGTTTCGACATGTTATGAGAAGAACTAGACTAGAGAAAAAGAAAAATTACAATCTTGATGGGGAGAAAGCAAAGGGAGGAAAACAAATATAAATACTTAGATGGTTTAGCAATATGAATGGGGGTGGGGTGAGAGGTGAGGTAGAAGAAAGGACAATGTCCTGAAAAGTAAAGGGCACTGGTATAATGTTGATACCCATCGTATCCTAATTGATGCGCACGCACACACACACGCGCGCACGCACACAAACACACACACAAAATATGAGTCTTGCACGATTTGTCCCATATGGCACTCACGTTGGGCAGGTAAGAGAGGGTTCTTCCTGTTGTTGTTGTTTTTTTAACTTTACAGCTCCACAAGACAAGACACATAATAGGTAAGAATGTACATGAGACAGATGAACGGGAAGAGGATCAATAGCTCTGCCTGCAGCACCGATGACGGATGCGTTCTGTGAAGACTTTGCGACATCAGTGGTTTTCAAACTGTTTTTTTTTTTTTTTAGGTCACGCCCTCCTGAATATATTGTAACCCCCCACCCTCCACACCAGTCCCCTTACATTACTCCCCGTTTTCCACAATTGAAAAAAAAAATCTATATTAAATGTAATTAAAATGAGGAGGAAAAAAATAAACATCCCAAGCACCATTAATGGAGAACTTAGAGAAAAAAATCCACACAAATAAAAGTGTCAAATAAGATAATATCCTTGATTTTTTTTTTTTTTTTAATTTAGAAATAGTTATAATAATATTTTATTCATCATTACAAAATATTACTCTATCAGATTATTGCAGGCACTCCAATTCAGAACTGACACCCCGTCCCCTTAAGAAATGAGTTGCCCCTTCCCGGGTTGAAAACAACGAATGCCACTGTGCTACACGATAACGATGAATGCCACTTTGCTACACGATACGATGAATGGCACTGTGCTACACAATAACGATGAATGGCACTGTGCTACACAATAACGATGAATGGCACTGTGCTACACAATAACGTTGAATGGCACTGTGCTACACAATAACGATGAATGGCACTGTGCTACACATTAACGTTGAATGGCACTGTGCTACAAAATAACGATGAATGGCACTGTGCTACACAATAACGATGAATGGCACTGTGCTACACAATAACGATGAATGCCACTGTGCTACACAATAACGATGAACGGCACTGTACTACACAATAACGATGAATGCCACTGCGCTACACAATAACGACGAATGGCACTGTGCTACACAATAACGATGAATGCCACTGTGCTACACAATAACGATAAATGCCACTGCACTACACAATAACGACGAATGGCACTGTGCTACACAATAACGATGAATGCCACTGTGCTACACAATAACGACGAATGGCACTGCGCTACACAATAACGATGAATGCCACTGCACTACACAATAACGACGAATGGCACTGTGCTACAAAATAACCATGAATGGCACTGTGCTACACAATAACGATGAATGCCACTGTGCTACACAATAACGATGAATGCCACTGTGCTACACAATAACGATGAATGCCACTCTGCTACACGATAACAATGAATGCCACTGTGCTACACAATAACGATGAATGCCACTGTGCTATACAATAATGATAAATGCCACTGTAGGTCAGTTAAAATTTAATTCCCAGTGCTTACCTATGTGCTTTAAATAATTAAACTCTTCAACAATTCGTCGGTTGGCAAGGTCACAATCGGGAGGCGTTGGTGGCCTAAAACAAATAATGTACAATATGTAAATCGATGTCTGGAATAGTTATAAACATTGAACGAGATTTTCAAGCACAGGCTAACGAGCTTGAGAAATGCTCATTAAAAGCTAGTGCATATATAAAAATATGTTGCAGTTCTCTCCCGTTTCATAAATCATGTAATCAGGAAAACACAGTTCTCTCCCGTTTCATAAATCATGTAATCAGGAAAACACAGTTATCTCCCGTTTCACAAATCATGTAATCAGATAATTGAAGTTCCAGCCACACAGAAAAATTCCACCATTGTCCCTTGTGACAAAAATGACGCAGAATGAAGCCTCAGCTCAGCCAATAGCCTATCCACACAATAAGCGTACAAGGCAGCCGTCAGACATACCAACACAAACATATCGGTACTTTAAATGCAGTTCATCGTAGTTGGAAGCAGCACAGATCAGTAGCTGCACACACAATTAATCGCAAAAGGCACCACCAGTTTTATAGCCACTCGGGATTTTTTGGATCTGCAGTTCACAGCACAGATCCCGCTAGGCGCAATCTTCTTCTTCTTCTTTGTTCACCGGCTGCTAGTTCCGGTGGAAAATCATGGTTGTTAGTCCATCTGAACTTTAGTTCTGTGCCAGGGCCTGAGTTGTGGGTGTACATCCGTTCCACTGGCTTGTTTGTGTGTAGCTGGTTGTTCCTTCCACTCGGGCAGATGCACTCTGACGTCGAAGGAAGCTCCTAATTAGTCGACTCCTAAGACATGCTTGTTAGAGAGGCAGTGGGTCTATTCATGTTTCTGCCCCCCCCCCCCCCACCCTCATCAAAATGGGAAATCAGAACCCACACAGGAAAGGCACAGTCAAACAAGCATTCCAAACGAAATTCACAGCTCAGTAGCTGGGCGACGGAACTTTGCCATTTTAGTCTACATATGGAGGAAAATACAAAAGCCAACTATTGTCAGATTCAAAAACTTGCCATGACTAAATACAATAAGCCTGCATGTCCACTATAATGACTGGAAGCTGCTCTACAGAAAACTTGTTAACGTCTGTAAGAACATCATCGCTCAGCAAGAAAATTGCGAGGTGCATTCGCAAGTGTCATTAATAAAAACTTACGGTGGTGGCCTTTTCAAAATCTTGACCTCTGTGTATTCTTGGGGTCTCTGAAAAGAGAAACAAAATTATTGTACATGAAGTAAGAACATTTTTTTAATGGATTTACAGTCGTCAAACTATCCACTCTTTGGTTCTTGCTAGAACATTGTACCAGAGATGTGTTATTCAAAGGTATCCATCTTTCAGTACTGATGGGAGCTTTCCAGTTTAACCTATGTACCATTTAACTTCATTTCGGTATCTCATGTCCGGTTTTTGTCTCGGTCACCTTTTTCTTCCCCTTGATCGGTTGTAAACTCCTGGAGATAATTCTAGCTGTTCGTCTACTTCTGGACTTTGGTCTGTGTTTGAGGCCTTGGGTATGGGGTGCATATCCATTTTACGTATACAGCTGTGTTGTGTGTGCAGGTTGTCGGCTCCTTGTCTCTCAGGCAGGTGCATGACTTCAATGGAATAGTCTAAGTTAGCCAGGCTTCTGGATGGGTTCCTCTAGGATGAAAAATGTCCATCCTATGATTGATTCACTGTATAACCAGATGGTTTTATAGTTTTAAAAAAATTGCAGTATTGATCGTGTTTTTGTGGTATACAACGTGCTAACCACCCTTTTAAAGTCGGACCCCCCCCCCCCCAACCCCCCACCCCCCCCCCAATAGAATATGTATATAAATATATATATATATATATATATATATATATATATATATATATATATATATAATATATATATATATATATTGGCACCTTTCCATCTTTTCTGAATATAGTGTTAAAAAGGTAAAGTCGGGAGATGTGAACCAGCGTCATTGCACACAGTTATAAACCATGAATGCTCTGCCACCAGTACGGACAGCTGATAAGAATTCCCGAATTTCCGACTGTCATCGTCCGCACGCAACTCCGTAGCTGCAGCGACTTTCCTCCATTTACCCCAGAGTGTTCACTCTAGTACCCATTTCCTAGAGGCTGGGTGAACCCCGGGAACCGCCCGGTTTCAAACACCGACCGTAGGTTGCAGCGAGTGGCAGCTGGATTTGATCGCGAGTCTCCTATCGACTGCGCTAACGCGGCCCTAGGTATAGTGTTATATTGGAGAAGGCATGGAACGCACAGACCATGGCGAGTGTGACTAGAAAGTCCCGCCCGGGTTATGAAAAGTCTTCCACGATTACAGCATGGGATTTCAGGAATTTTGTTTTCAACGTGTGTGTTTAGTCTGTTTCTTCTCAGACGCTCAGCTCTCATCATTTCTGAGTCATTTTTTCCTCCACTGCTCTTTTCATTTCTGAGTCATTTTCCTTTATTCTCATTCCCTTCCTTGCACACGCAAAACTCAGGTCCTGGAACAAAGCCAAAGTCTAGAAATAGATGAACAACTAGGTCTTTCTGTCTACAACAGAAAGGGACAATTAATATTCTTTGGCCATGTGATGAGAATGAGAAAACTGGAGTACATCGTGACAGTAGGAAAGTTGGAGGGGAGGAGAGGCAAAGCAGACCGAGGGATCATATGCTAGACTGTGTGACATCATGTCATATAGGATCATCTGTGTCAGAGTTGACTGAAAGTACACGAGACAGAAGGTTGTGGCTAGACATGACTACCAACGCCACATGGCATGGACTTTAAGAAGAAGAAGACACACTGTCATTGTAACATTAATTAAGCAAATAACATAAAACAAGAGTAGAAGATTTAATCTGAAACCTGTGCTCTGAGTAGTTCTTCAATTTTCTTTCGCTCCTCGATCAGTCGTCGCCTGGTGTCGTCCATGTCACTGAGCAATGTTGTACCTGTAGAAACAAAATTGGGATTATACTTCACCTTTTGTCTGTTTTACTGACATTATACAAAATGAAGTAGAAGCGGATATAGTTATATTTAATCGTCCTCCCCACTCCTCTTCATCCTCGTCCCATTCTTCTTCTACAACTTTTTTCTTTCTCGCGTTACTTCGTATTATTCTCGTATTATTTCTATTCATCTTTTTCGTCTTCATCCTCTTTAGCTAATTCTTTTTCGTCTACATCTGCATCTTCTTCGTTGACTTCCTTCTGTTGGTCAGTTCCTTCCCCCTCTTGATGTCTGAGGTCTAGCTCTTCTCTTCCTGTCTACAGAGCCCTGTAGTATCATTTTGAAATGTCATAAAATCTGGCTACATGTCACTGCATTTATCTCCCCTGACATACAATCAGGCAGTTACTCGTGCCATTGGAAATAAAACTCTTCGCCTGTCTTCAAATCCGGTATCGGTAAAACTAAGGAAAGATAATGACTGGGTTGACACGTAAAGACACTACAAGATGTTGGTGTACTCACTTGGAGGTCTAACTGTGATCGGCTCTGTTTTGGGCTGTAAAATAGATTATATATGTGATTTTAATTTCAAATGATATTTGCTTTCTTTAATGTTTACTATACTTTAGGACAATAAATGTGAATTTATTAATACAATTACAAGACATCTTGACTTTGTTCGGTTAATCAATCAGGTGCCGTCATCACAAGGAAGGATGGCGGCAAGGGATTTTCACCTTATTGTCTTTTATCACCTACATTGAATCTCTCAGACTGCTGTTCGTTCCTATACTGAAGATATACTTCTACTTGTATCGCTGTGTGCCTCTTGCCACTGTTGATATCTCCATAATTTTTAATCATATTTAACCTATGTAAGAAAGAAGCATTCGATATTTCAAAAGGCCAAAATCACACTGGCCAGATATGACACCAAAACATTTCCCGATACCCACTTTTGGTCGGGTCGAAAAGACTCCAGAAATAAAATAAAAAAATTACTTATATCCTACACTTGCATAGCCGGCCCTAAAAAGGCTTCAGTGTTATACAACTTTGAGCTGGCAATAGAAAATGTAATAATTAACAAAATCAGGTCCCTTAATACGCCAGTAGTTCATAATAGCCCCTGCCATTCCGACGTTTACATATACTATCTGTTCATCATCATCAGGTGCCTTGCCGACTGGCGTGTGCGATCATGCCTCTCCATAATCTGCGATCTCCTGCAGCATGTATCAGTTCGTGTGCCGACACACCTCCATGCCATGCAACAAGACTGTCAAGCATCTTCTCTCGTTGTCTTCCTCTATCCCTCCTTCCACACAGATCTTTCCAGTGGTCATAACATGTTCTATTTTCCCTCTTCTCATAACATGGCCGAAAAATGATGACTGTCTCCTTCTGATGTCTGTGATAAGTTGTCTTCGGGCTCCCGCCTCTTTCAAAACCTCTTGGTGGCTCTTTTTCGCTGTCAAAGATATTCTAAGCATTCTTCTGTAAAACCACATCTCTGAGGCCTCCAGAAAATACTATCTGGTACCCTCCTAATATTAGAGGCAATTTTTCGTTACTTTAAAGGCCATACCCCGGCTTTAGTCGGGGGCCCTAATATAATCTAACGGTTGAACTGGGTTTTAAGGACTTTCGTCCGGCTGATTCTCATAAACTCGTACTTGATTAATCACCTGTTGGTGATTAATATCACTGTTGTCATCCTGTTGTTTTTATAATGTGCACTAACTGCCAACTGTTTGATTGTTGTGAAATCATTGTGTGAGTTTGTAAGTTTATCCCACTTCTGTATTGTCATTAATTCCTGTTCTCCTTCAGAGTCAAACCTGACATTCCGCTAGTGCCAAGAGAGTCTGGGTTGGGAGCGCTTTGGGAGTGGGAGGAAAATAGGGGAACATATCAACAGCTTTGGGTGGAGGGAAAATAGGGGAAGAGGGGGTATGTGACTTGAAAACTTGTTATGACAAGGCAGATCAGGTCCTAAGCCATGGCTGGCGGTTGGTCTAAGAGGGCAGCAGTGGCAGGCGGACAGACCAAGCACTGCTCATCTGATCCACCAGGTTCTGCTGCATGCTCTACTCCAAATTTACTGGTGTTATCTTTCCTTTGTAGTTAACAAGGCATCATACTGCACGGGAACACATAGTCTCTACTATATCGCCCAGGTTGTAGGATATGGCAGAGAGGATGTTCATCGCCAGCAATGTGGGCTGAGATGACCTTGTCTGCCTATTAAACATTGCAGCACTTGTCTTGTCTTGTCTTGTCCACAATTGCCTCACAGCGTAGCGGGGAGTCGCAGTTTTCTATCCTGGGCCAGGTGTGTTGCACGTGTTGTTGTTAGTCCGTGTTGCCTCAGGATCTCTTATATATTGTCTATCCATCGTACTCTCGGTCTGCCTCTTGCTCTAGGGCAGTAGTGCTGTTTGTTGTATGCTCGTAGAGGCAGTTGGTCGGTGTGCATTCGCATCAAGTGGCCAAACCACTCTATTTGTTGCTTCTTTATGTATTGCAGGCATGGTGTGGTTCCTACAATTGCTCTAATGTTCTCGTTTCGAACTCTGTCTCTCCTTGTGACATTGGCAGCCTTACGTAAGCATCTCATTTCGCACGTCGTGATCTTTTTCTCCTGTGCTCTTGTTAGGGACCAGGTTTGGCATTGGTAGCAGAGGGTTGGTATAAACATGCAATTTATCAGTTGTCGTTTTAGTGCCATAGTGATGCTTGGGTGTTTTAGCAGTGGGGAGAGTTGGTAAGTTATTGCAGCACTATCGCATGGAAAAGCCTAACGGTGTGCCAACAAATGTCATATATTGTGATATGTGTCCCATAATTTTTGTCATTTGTGTCATATGTTTATAAATGAGGTCGACGTCTGTGGCTTTGAAATCAGTCATCCCCTTGTGGGATGCAATTTTTCGGTATCTTGAAGCCCCACCTTGGCTCTTGCAGGGGCCGCAATATAGCCCGGCCATAAATATGGTCTAATGGCTGAACGCGTTTTTTGGAACCTCTCCACGGGTGATCCTCATCCGCAAGGTGGCACTTTGTCTCAGTGGGTGTTTATCGCTCTGAGTGATGTCCCGGTGGGGTAAAATGTACTCCTACTACTAATTTGTGGCTTCAGCGTTGCAAACATCCTTCATAATGCCAGGGTGCCGCGTTCGATCCCAGCTGCAGGCAAATGTTCGCTTTGGGTTGGTTTCTGGTAGTCTGGTAGTCTTAGTTTCAGCTTCATAGCAAACGGGTCGCCCAATCTTTGCTCCGCTCCTGTGCCAACGAAAAACACACAGAACGTTTATCACAGTATTAGAATTGCAGTTCATCATTGATGGTAGCAGAAGTCGCCAACAGATAAGCAGTTGCCCACTGAAACATTTTAATCACATATGGGCACCACAACACTGCACGACAGGCATCGCGCCATTTTATGAATCTACAATTCACACCAACACGTTGTTCACAGTCGAAAAAACATTCCAATGCAATCAGCAGCTCACAGGGTCACGCCATGCATTCAACTCAGAAGCTGGGCGACGAAACTATCTCCAGTCTACAAATAGAGCAAAAATGCATCGGCCACCGTCCGGCAGAAGCAAACAATTTGCCTCTGTTTCGAACAGTGCCGCTGCCTAACGTCCATTTTGACCGTTGGTTAATTTCAACAATGGTATCAAGAGCTGAACGTTTAGTCAGCAATGGCAAACTACTGAACGTGAAATTTGTCTAGAAAAGCCACAACAAGCAACAAATGGTGTGGCTGTTTCTGCACCGCTCTGTGTAGAATACGCAAGAACTTTTTTGTAATATTTAGGCCGGCATATAATGGCACGTACAACTTAATATATTGTCGAAATCCTTTTGGTTACAACAAAAATCACTACAGTGTATCTATACTTATGTCTATTTACCAAACGACTACTTCTTAAAGTTCGAAAGAAAAATAATCTTACTGACTGTAACAACTGGGGTATTTACTCTGTTAACAATAATGTCAAAGACTTTTTTGTCAAATGATTCTTAATAAAATTTAAACGGATAGTGGACTAATTCCTGATAGCGGAACCAGCATGTTTTTTACCTAGAGCAATCTCCCCTTATTTGGCATTACCACTTAGTAGGTGATGAAAATAAGTTGTGTTGGAAACACCGGCATTGACTGTATGGAGAACACACAGATGAAAGATCTCGATTTTTCTGATGAAATTTTTCTGCTGAGCAAAAAAACAGCAATGCCATCCACAGAAAGACAGACGATTGAGCAAATAAAGCATCAAAGGCTGAACAACAAATAAATTATGAAAAGACAAAAAAATATGGAAGACACCAACAATGTATCAAGCAGATGTAACGCTAGATATATCGGAATTAAAGTAACTGATCAATTTACTTAATTACATAGTAAGTTTGATACCTATGGACATATAGAGAATTTATCAAACGCACTGGCAAGGCATCTGTAGCTATTAATAGCCTGAACAAAATATCAAACTCTATAAACTGTGTGGTTTTAAAAGCTAGTAAGGTATATTCAATGTTAATTTTATTTCAGTTTTAACATATGCTAGTAAAACGTTAAAGACACGGAAAGACGCCTAAAGAAACCATAAAACGACTGTTGACAAGAGAGGCCAAAGCTGCTGGACTGAGTTCCATTCATGATATCGAACTGATTTCACCGAGTAGAACGGGATGAAGGGATAAACTGTGAGTCCTGTGTGCCACATAGTAGTTAGCACAACAGGACAAGGAATGAATGAACGCTTACCAGTTTGATTTTTTGTTTGGCTCTCTCTGCTTCCCTCATTTGTCTTTCCCACTCCCGTCTCCTCTCTTCAAGATCTCTGGCCATCTGCTCCATTCGACGCCTTGCCTATGGACAGGCAGATACATTGCCAATGTTAGATAACAATAAACTAATAGTCGTTTGTTGGTATGAACTGGTGTGTGTGTGTGTGTGTGTGTGTGTATCTGGAACCATAAGTGAAGCCAAGAATAGTAATACCGCCATGCCTGCTGTAAGAAGCTAGAAGTGTTGCCTTGAGAGGGGCAAGCATGTCAGAAAGAAAGAAAGAAAGAAATGAGAGAAAGAAAGAAAGAAAGAAATGATGAAAAGAAAGAAAGAAAGAAAGAAAGAAAGAAAGAAAGAAAGAAAGAAAGAAAGAAAGAAAGAAAGAAAGAAAGAAAGAAAGAAAGAAAGAAAGAAAGAAAGAAAGAAAGAAAGAAAGAAAGAAAGAAAGAAAGAAAGAAAGAAAGAAAAGATAGGAAAGAAAAAAAGAAAGAATGAATGAATGAAAGAAAGAGAAGAAAGAAAGAAAGAAAGAAAGAAATGAAATATAGAAAGTAAGAAAGACAGACAGACAGACTGAAATGAAAGAAAGAAAGAAAGAAATGACAGAAAAAAAAAAGACTAAACAAAAGATTTCCACAATCTATTCTCAGTTAAAGTTTTAAAATAAAGTTGGTCGGGGGATTAGAAGGGGGGGGGGGAGGTGAACGGGAGGGGGCTGGGGTACAGGGCTATACAGCTAAGCTACGTGAGATGCCCTCTTAAGAACATGTGTCAGTTGCAGATTTTGTTCTTCAGGTAATACGGATAGTCATTGGAGCAATGGAACATCGTGCTCTGAGCAGCTTTTGGCAGATGAACAGCCATATGACATAAACCCTAAAATTACGAAGTGGATGATCCCAATTGTGGGGGTGGGGGAAAAAGGGGGGGGGGGGCTTTACTATCTAGCAAGCATTTCGTAAATGCGGCATGATTAGAGGTATTTCATTTGAAGTTAGAGTGCATCTGCTTGATTGGCGTGGAACCAACAGTCTGCATTTCACTGAGCATAGATCTGTAAAACCGGTGTGCATTCAAAACGCAATTTCTGTATGTCTGTGTTTATAGCAGGTGAGGGCTGAGAAAAAGAGGAAAAGGGACAGACAGAATTACGCGAAGAGAGAGAAAAAGACGGAGAGACAGAGATACATGAAGAGACACACACAAAGAGAAAGAGAGAGACAGAGAAAGACAGACGGAAAAACAGAGAGAGGCAGAAAGAGACACAGATAAACAGAAAAGAGAGAAAGAAAAAAGACAGACAGGCACAGGCAGACATAGACGCATAAAGAGAGAGAAAGGGAGAGACAGACGGAGAGGAAGAAAAACGGAAAGAGACACAAAGAGAGACAAACAGAGAAAGAAAGAAACAGAAAGACAGATAGAGACACAGAGAGATAGAATAAGAAAGGGAAAGAGAAAGACAGAAAGAGAGACAGAAAGAGAGACAGACAGACAGACAGACAGACAGACAGACAGACAGACAGACAGACAGACAGACAGACAGACAGACAGACAGACAGACAGACAGACAGACAGACAGACAGACAGACAGACAGACAGACAGACAGACAGACAGACAGACAGACAGACAGACAGACAGACAGACAGACAGACAGACAGACAGACAGACAGACAGACAGACAGACAGACAGACGGACAAAGAGAGACAGACACAGACAGAAAGAGAGAGAGAAAGAGAGACAGAGAGATAGAGACAGACGGAGAGACAGATTTACATAAAACACAGAGAGAGAGAGAAAGGGAGGGACAAACGGAGATACAGAGATGGAAAGAGTCACACAGAGATATAGAGAGAAAGAGAGAGAAAGACAAAGAGACAGAAATAGAAATAGACAAAGGTAGACATAAAAGAGAGAGAGAAAGGGAAAGAAAACGAGACAGACATACAGAGACATGTGGAGAGACATAAAGAGACGCAGAGAGAGACATAGAAAAAGAGAAAAAAGATTTATAGGCCCATATATACAGCTTGGTCTGAAAATCCATAAAGGAAAGACAAAGATAATGAGAATAAATCAGGCAAATAGTAATGTGGTTTCTCTTAATGGCACCCCACTCCAAGACGTGGAGTCGTATACCTATTTGGGCAGTAATGTAGATAAAGATGGAGGAACTAATAGAGATATTAAAATAAGAATACAAAAGGCAAGAGGGGCTTTCATAGCACTAGGGAATTTGTGGAGGTCAAAAGAAATTAAAAGAAATACAAAACTAAAAATTTTTAATTCTAATGTCAAATCAGTACTATTGTATGGGGCGGAAACATGGAGAACAACGAAGGCAATTACTAATAAATTACAGACATTCATCAACTGGTGCCTGCGCAGAATAGAGGGAATAAAATGGTATGATAGAATAACTAATGTAGAACTTTGGGAGAGAACTAAACAGGCTCCAGCTGATCAGGAGGTGAGGAAAAGACGCTGGCGTTGGATAGGGCACACTCTGAGAAAACAGGAGAACAGCATAACTAGAATGTCTTTGCATTGGAACCCACAGGGGCATAGGAATAAAGGAAGGCCAAAAAACACATGGAGAAGAGAGCTGGAGAATGAGGTTAGAAAGATTGGGAGGACATGGGGAGAGCTCCATGTAATGGCGAAGGATAGAACGACTTGGCGTGAGTTGGTTGAGGGCCAATGCTCCATTGGGGGATAAAAAGGCAGAAGAAGAAGAAGAAGAAGAAGATATACATAGATATGTGTGTGTGTGTGTGTTTATATATATATATATATATATATATATATATATATATATATATATATATATAGATAGAGAGAGAGAGAGAGAGAGAGAGAGAGAGAGAGAGAGAGAGAGAGAGAAAGAGATTTATTCTGTAACGTGTTCTTTACAGAACGTGATACCTCATTTTCCTGGTCCATCAGCCTCCTTCGTTCATCCTCCAACTCCTTCCTCATCCTCTTCTGATAGTCATCATTTTCTCTGGTGAGCTGCGCCTTTGTCCTCTCCCTTTCTAACTGTCAACATTACAGCACAATCCATTACTGGGCTGACATAAACATAAACATGTAAACATGCCATAAACATGTGGCAATAAATGGCACCGATTCACTAACTATAGACAGTTTCACGGATAGTGTCTTCAGAAGGTAAATAGTTACCACAGAAATGATATGCTAGGTGTAACAAGAAAAGATCGACTTAGGAACGATCCTTACAGGAGGAGAGTCGGCACAGAACCAGGAGTAGAGAGAAAAGAAGAACAACAACATTATCATTATGTGGTAGTTTCTTTACAGAACGTCGCTCACATCTCAGCGCACCTGTAAGAAGCTCAGTCCCTTGCAATATCTCCAATGTGATAACTTTCATGATGGGCTTCTTGGGATTGGTCACTTTGTAGCTTTTCACCTTCCTGTCCACATCCATCTGGCTTTAGCCTTTGTTTTTAACCTTTAGCAACCTTTTAGGCTGCCAGTTCAAGGGAGTGCCCTGCTCTGATATACTCCTGCAAACACCCCAGTGGTGTTCATTTATCCAGAAGGTAACTCATTTCCCATAGCTGCGTTGGTCATCCCGAAGTGTGTTTCCCATTCTCTGCAGCATGGAGGTGCAATCTGTGTATTCATTGTGCGGTCTTCAGACCAGAATGAATAATAAACTACATCAAAGTGGCACTGTTGATTATAAGTTAGTGAAATATTCATACACGCAGTAGTGCTTGAACTTTAGTGAAGCTGCTCAAATAAAACGGCAAGAATAAAAAAAACTTTATTGACAAGTCTCACCATACATTGATAATAAATGTCTTCATTTAACTTATAATATACAATAACCTATAATAAATAATAATTGTATAAACCTTAAAATATAATAAAATAATATAAACCTATAATAAATAAATCATACCGCTAAACACTAAACACTACAATAACCCTTGCTGAACTGTACTTATAGCAATAAATGATAGCTAATCACATGGTATTCAATATTACTGCTAAACTATACATTGTAATAAAATGTCATCCATAAGCTTTACACATGGAAATAAATGGCAATGTAAGCTATATACATAAAGGAGATGATATCTTATAAACTATACATATGGCAATAAACTGCACCTCAAACATGATAGTAAATGACATTGCTAAATTATATCAATGAAGATAAATGACACAGCTAAACTATCCACATGACAACGTCATCACTGTCCCCATCCTATCTTACATTTGTTACTGTTGTGTTTCCATCTTGTTCTTCATCTACTTTGTGTTCTGCGTCCTTCTCCTCTTTTGATGTTTACCTTGTACGATATGACGTCACAGATAGTTCTCTCTTAGTGGTCAGATCATTTCATTTGTTGTCTGCATGTCCTTTAGAATTAATTATGTGCCAATTTTACTTCTAAGACCTGATTCCTGAGTTTATCTCTTCTGTTCACTTCTGCTGCTTTTCTCAGACAAATTATTTAAATGGGTATAAATGTTCTTTTCTAGTCTGTTTGGTGACCTATATTGGTAGCATAGAGCGGGAATTGTTATGCTTCATATGAGACGTTTCTATCTGCTGATATAGATTGTTTACCTATGGTAGAGGTTTGGTGGGTAAAAAGGGGGGGGGGGGGGTGCTAGCTGTTCCAGTGCCTGGTTTGCTTCACTGTGTAGATACATGATGTCTTTAATATCATCAGTCTTTCTTCTTCTAGAGGGCCCTCTAAGTCTCATATAAGATATTTTTATGTGTGGCGCCTTTATTGTTTGTTGTTTTAGTTGTATTCTGATCAAATGTTTAAACCATTTGATCATTCTTTCTCGAATAATTTGGTTCATGGCAGTCTTCCCCAGTCTGTCTGACAATATCATTTCTCACTTCTTCTCTGATGTTTATGTTGACGGCTTTCCTCTTTTATCTCATCAAACGGGTGTGACGTTGATGTAGATGTACCTGCCTCTGATGATGTCCAATTACGGCAGAGGTGGCACGGTGCTGGGATATATACGCTTTTGATAATCTACTTCTCGGTGGTCATATTTAGTTCTTACCTGTGTTATTCCCAGCAGGGCTTTGATTTCCCGGTGCAAACTATCTGAAAGAATACAAGCAATAGTAGATATAGCTCAAAGTAAACGGCATTTGAGGACGAGCACACACATACACACACACACACACACACACACACATATATATATATATATATACACACACACACACACACACATATATATATATATATATATATATATATATATATATATATATACAAATATATATATATATATATATATATTTACACACACATACAAAACATACACACACACGTGCATATATATATATTTATATATATATATATATATATATATATATATATATATATATATATATATATATATATATATATATATATATATATATATATATATAAACAGATATGTGAATTTCAAATACCATAAAAAAAAGCAGATTAGTACAAAAAGATCTATTTGGTAATTAAACTAAAAGACCTTTTAGATTCGCTTTTTAAAACATCAACAAAAGAAGCTTTTGGCTGTTTTTAGACAACTCCGAAATTTGTTTAGTGTAAAGGAAGTTGTAAAGCATGTAGCAAGAGAGGTAGTGCAGATAAATAGTGCATACCACATAACAATTGCAGAAACAGTAACACAATCAGAAATAGGGCGGATTGCCATAGCCAGACAAAGATTAGACAGCATTAAAGGTGTATGATTAAGCAGTCGTGGACATACTACAAGTCCTTAAAGGGAAAAATAGGGGCTTTAGAGTTAAAATGCTGCAGACATATTCTCACAATACCATGGACAATAAGGAAAAGAAATAATGATATTCTAAAAGATCTGAATATCAAGGAAGATTTGCTGATAAGCAACGTCTTGTCTCGGAAACTGAAATAATTTATCTAATTAAGATCCACAGCAGATTGGGGCGGGGGGGGGGGGGGGGAGGAGTGTAAAATAGTACCATAAGGCATGGTACCAGAAAGGAGAGGAAGAGGCCGACCTACACGAAGAAAGGTACATGAAATAAGTGACTCCTTGGATGATATGAAAGCTCACGAGGCGGGACTGTTGGCGAGAGACCCAGTTTCAAACAGACTGTGATGAGAGCGACGTTCTGCAAAGGACCTGATACACGATAATGATGATGAAGGCCTAATCTTAGGCTCCTGATGCGTGTGCAACACACGGTCTCTCCAATAGGGCCTAAGCTTCAAGCTATGCAGAAGTCCTGACATCCCATGCTCTAATTGCTGAAATCTTTTCTTAACGAGGGCGGGTCTCGCTAGTCACACTCGCCATCGCCACGGACTGTGATTCCCATACTGCCGTATAGCCTAACATAACACTAACATCTTGGAAGACAGAAAAGTGTCAACAAGCAGATGGAATAGTATAAGTAGTTGATACAGCCAGAGGAGCAGCTAGTAGAGTAGCAAGACCAGGTGTAAAAGTCGAGATGGAAAAGTTAAACAATCAGATGGAATAGCATGAGTAGTTGATACAGCCAAAGACCAGGTGTAAAAGTCGACGACACAGCAGCAGGTGGAGTAACAAGAGTATGCGCCGAAGCCTCGAGCATAGTACTTACAGATCTGGGCCTGTCTGTAAAGGTCTGGAAAACCATTAAATCAGTTATATTAAAGAAATCGTACCCACTTACCGTTGTTGTTATTGTGTTCGAAAGGATTATACTTCGGATGATAGTCACTGTAATGGGACGAGAAACGTTGAAACAAATAAGAACGAATGCAAATTCGGATCATTTGATCAACAAAAACAACAATTCTTAGGACTGCAGGATCGCCTACAGACATACTAAATCTTCAAGTTAAACCTTATATTCCTCGCTTCTCCTGAGGGTCCAGGGGCGATCTATAACTTTGCTGATGTTTCTATAGGAAGAAAGCAAACTGGGTTTTTATCAGTTGCTCATAAACATTCGAGGGCTTTCTCTTAGCTGTCTAGATAATAATCATTACCATCCCTACATGTATTCAATGAGATCTTTCTGTCTATCCCGACGATAGTTTTATATTACATTGGCTTCTGAAAATCACAGCGAATTGGGCCAGGGATAAAGTTATTCCTCTCTACAGCACAAAGTCTTGTATTGTAGAGACCAAGGCATTATTGTAGAGACCACGTACTGTCCAGTGCATCATGGCTGCTGGTTTGGCCTGCCTTGTTAACTACTAAGAAAAGGTAACATTGATAGGGTTTAAATAAAACATGCTGCAGACGCAGTTGGATTAGAACAACAGTGTTCTGTCTCACCGCCTGTAAGCTTCAGACCAGCTGCCAACCAAGGCTATTCTGCTGCCAAAACGTAACGTTCACACACACGCGACGCGGGGAACACAGGAAACAAATTGCCCTAATAAAGAATAATAGTAATGCGTCCTCATAGAATTTCCTGGCTAGATATAATAAAGCAGGTGTTGGGTCAGAAAAACTGTCCGAGCTGATGGCGGAAAATTTGTGTTGTTTACTTAGGTGCCGAAACTACAGGGCTCACGTACTCACCTCCACCCCCCCCCCCCCACAACCCCCTACCCTTCCCCTAAACTCCCAAATGTTTGCCCCGTTACCAATAATCCTGTAAGAAGACTAAAGGACCCCTGGAACCATGCATAGAAGTAATAACGTGATGAATGGCAAACAAATATAATAATAGTAAAAAAAATATGTAGAATAGCATATTGGGCGTATAGGGCTAGACCTATATTTTTTTTGGACGCATTGGCACTCCAGTGAAGTGGTCAACGTCACGCTGGCTGTCTTTACTTCCCATGAATATACCTGGTACCCACCTAAGGCTGGATGACCTGGGGGAGGGGGAAGGTCCGACTCCGTCAGGACCCGAACTTACGACTTTCCAATCCGCAGGCAATCGTCTAGCCGCTACACCACGGCGACTCATACTATTACCACTACTACTACTACTACTACTACTACTACTACTACTACTACTACTACTACTACTACTACTACTACTACTACTACTACTACTACTACTACTACTACTGCTGCTACAACTAGTAAGGATTAAACATCTAGATATAGTTCTCGAGAACAATATCTCACCTACTTTGATCTGTATTGTATAAAATGCTCTTCCTCCTATGAAACACAGTTTTCTTTTGACAATACACCTTGAACAAATATATAAACTCACTTGGATTCATATCTTCCTGGCATTATGATCGGTCGATTGTCCACGTACGGAACAACCAGAGGCTGGACGATCGAACCATACCCAGCTGAAACAAAAAATATAGGATATTTACCAACGTCGACCAAAGTTTATATTTTGTCATTAGCAGCTAAAAATGTTGGTTCTCCCTCGCAAAACACTCTCGTCACTTCTTCTTCTTCTTCTTCTTCTTCTTCTTCTTCTTCTTCTTCTTCTTCTTCTTCTTCTTCTTCTTCTTCTTCTTCTTCTTCTTCTGCTTCTTCTTTTTCTCTGCGTAGAATGTGGTCATTAAAATTAGGTACACTATTATGCGGTTTTCTTTTTTGTGTATCATTTCTAGTCCCGACGTCTTTCCATCACAACTGGTTTAACTAGAGAGTGTTTTGCGGGGAAGAAGGAGTCGAGTCATTTACTTTTTACGGAGATAGTTAAGGATCGTCGCTGGAGTTACGGAGGTCGTGCTATATGCGACGTTCTCGGCAGGCAGCTAGATGTTTTACTGAGAGAGACGCAGCCATGTGGGATAAAACCCGGTGCAATGAAGTCCAGACTCTCCCCTTTACCGTTGCCTCGCTCTCTGAGAGTTATAGGTTCGCGCTGTTCACTTCACGAGTACAGTCTTTGCAGAGACTTCTGGGGATCTTCGCTGTTTCTGGAGTACATTTACTGATAGTATTTGTGTCTTTTCTCTCTGAGTCCAGGACATACACATGTAAGTATTTCAACTAGGCAGGTTAATAACTAGGATAACAGAGAGAAGCCGCCGACTAGACCATCAGAGAGGAAGTGAGAAATGATACCATCAAACGGAATGCGAGAAGAGTGCCATGAACTAAAATCAATGAGAAACAGGAGATCAAACGGTTTAGAAATCTTGTTAGAATACAACCATAACAACCGACAGCACAGCCTCTTCTTCTTCCTCTCCTTCTTCTTCTTCTTCTTCTTTTTCTTCTTCTTCTTCTTCTTCTTCTTCTTCTTCTTCTTCTTCTTCTTCTTCTTCTTCTTCTTCTTCTTCTTCTTCT